AAATAATTAAGAAAACTAGCATAAAAAACAACAATATTATATATTTGAACATAAATAAATCAATTATTTAAAATAAAAGAAGAAAATCCAGTTTTTTAATTAAAAAATTCAAAAATCGTTTCAAAACGACATAACTCCGCGCGGAGATATGACGTTCTAAGACGACATAACTCCGCGCGGAGATATGAAGTTCCAAAACGACATAGCTCCCCGCGGATATGATATGACCTTCCAAATCATCACGTTTTTTTTTTTTAAATCGAGGTCGGTGCGAAATTCGAAACTTTTTCGATGATTTTTTTTTTAAATCTCATAACATAACTCCGCGCGGAGATATGACGTTCTAAAACGACATAACTCCGCGGAAGATATGACGTTCCAAAACGACATAACTCCGTGGGGAGATATGACGTTCTAAAACGACATAACTCCGCGGGGAGATATGACGTTCCAAAACGACATAACTCCGCGGGGAGATATGACGTTCCAAAACGACATAACTCCGCGGGGAGATATGACGTTCCAAAACGACATAACTCCGCGCGGAGATATGACGTTCTAAAACGACATAACTCCGCGGGGAGATATGACGTTCCAAAACGACATAGCTCCGCGGGGAGATATGACGTTCCAAAACGACATAGCTCCGCGGGGAGATATGACGTTCCAAAACGATATAACTCCGCGGGGAGATATGATGTTCCAAAACGACATAACTCCGCGGGGAGATATGACGTTTCAAAACGACATAACTCCGCGGGGAGATATGACGTTCCAAAACGTCATAGCTCCGCGCGGAGATATGACGTTCTAAAACGACATAGCTCCGCGGGGAGATATGACGTTCTAAAACGACATAGCTCCGCGCGGAGATATGACGTTCTAAAACGAAATAGCTCCGCGCGGAGATATGACGTTCTAAAACGACATAGCTCCGCGCGGAGATATGACTTTCTAAAACGACATAGCTCCGCACGGAGATATGACGTTCTAAAACGACATAACTCCGCGCGGAGATATGACGTTCCAAAACGATATAGCTCCGCGGGGAGATATGACGTTCCAAAACGACATAACTCCGCGCGGAGATATGACGTTCCAAAACGACATAACTCCGCGGGGAGATATGACCTTCCAAAACGACATAGCTCCGCGGGGAGATATGACGTTCCAAAACGACATAACTCCCCGCGGATATGATATGATCTTCCAAATCATCACTTTTTTTTTTTTAATCGAGGTCGGTGCGAAAATCGAAACTTTTTCGATGATTTTTTTTTAATATCTCGGGTAATAGCCCATATTTTTTTGATGCAGATCGATGCAGGGGGTTTATGCTTTCAGACCGATAAATTAAGGACTACAATGAGCTCTAAGGACCTCCACGACTGACAAAGCAAATTTTTCCAGGATCGGACTTTAATCAGGCCAGATATAGTTATTTTAAGTTTCAATAAGCTATAATTATGACTTATGCTTGATTTGTATAATTTTAAGAGAAATAATTAAGAAAACTAGCATAAAAAACAACAATATTATATATTTGAACATAAATAAATCAATTATTTAAAATAAAAGAAGAAAATCCAGTTTTTTAATTAAAAAATTCAAAAATCAATATTCCAACGCTTGGCCCACATTTAAAATTTGTGAAGATATGAAAGATGTTATGTCGTTTCAAAACGACATAACTCCGCGCGGAGATATGACGTTCTAAGACGACATAACTCCGCGCGGAGATATGACGTTCCAAAACGACATAACTCCGCGTGGAGATATGACGTTCTAAAACGACATAGCTCCGCGCGGAGATATGACGTTCTAAAACGACATAACTCCGCACGGAGATATGACGTTCCAAAACGACACAACTCCGCGCGGGGATATGACGTTCTAAAACGACATAACTCCGCGGGGAGATATGACGTTCCAAAACGACATAGCTCCGCGGGGAGATATGACGTTTTTAAACGACATAACTCCGCGGGGAGATATGACGTTCCAAAACGACATAACTCCGCGTGGAGATATGACGTTCTAAAACGACATAACTCCGCGCGTAGATATGACGTTCTAAAACGACATAACTCCGCGCGGAGATATGACGTTCTAAAACGACATAACTCCGCGCGGAGATATGACGTTTTAAAACGACATAACTCCGCGGGGAGATATGACGTTCCAAAACGACATAATTCCGCGGGGAGATATGACGTTCCAAAACGACATAACTCCGCGCGGAGATATGACGTTCCAAAACCACATAACTCCGCGTGGAGATATGACGTTCTAAAACGACATAACTTCGCGCGGAGATATGACGTTCTAAAACGACATAACTCCGCACGGAGATATGACGTTCTAAAACGACATAACTCCGCGCGTAGATATGACGTTCCAAAACGACATAACTCCGCGGGGAGATATGACGTTCTAAAACGACATAGCTCCGCGGGGAGATATGAAGTTCCAAAACGACATAACTCCCCGCGAATATGATATGACCTTCCAAATCATCATTTTTTTTTTGTTAAATCGAGGTCGGTGCGAAAATCGAAACTTTTACGATGATTTTTTTTTAATATCTCATAACATAACTCCGCGCGGAGATATGACGTTCTAAAACGACATAACTCCGCGGGGAGATATGACGTTCCAAAACGACATAACTCCGCGGGGAGATATGACAATCCAAAACGACATAACTCCGCGGGGAGATATGACGTTCTAAAACGACATAACTCCGCGGGGAGATATGACGTTCTAAAACGACATAGCTTCGCGCGGAGATATGACGTTCTAAAACGACATAGCTTCGCGCGGAGATATGACGTTCTAAAACGACATAGCTCCGCGCGGAGATATGACGTTCTAAAACGACATAGCTCCGCGGGGAGATATGACGTTCCAAAATGATATAACTCCCGCGGGGAGATATGACCTTCCAAAACGACATAACTCCGCGCGGAGATATGACGTTCTAAAACGACATAGCTCCGCGGGGAGATATGACGTTCTAAAACGACATAACTCCGCGGGGAGATATGACGTTCCAAAACAACATAACTCCGCGGGGAGATATGACGTTCCAAAACAACATAACATGGCATACCCAAAACGTGCGTCTGTTGGCAGCTGCTGGCTGCCGAGATTTTTCTTAAAATCTGCCAAAATACCGGGCGAACAGAAATGCCGAGAAGGTCGACGAGTGGTTTGAATAAAAATTTTCATTGCATAGCATTACGGGGCAAAATTGTAACTCAATTAAGATGAATGCTGTTAATTAGCAGTCTATGTAAAATGAGCGCTGTAAATCGCCTGTTAAAAAAATACCTGCAGCTGCAGCTAATGTAAAAGGGCTCCTGAAAGAAAATTCATACATGTTCATGGACCATTTCAATGCGCAGTCTGCAGAGATCTGATCGTTTAGGTTCCCAAGGACTATATCGATGATATGGAATAATCAAGGATATACTAGTCAACTAGAAACCACTCAGGCGGCTGGCTGCTGTAAAAGAAAAGCATACATATTTGTGGACCATGTTCTTGCGCATTTCGCGAGAGCTCGGTCCTTTAGGTTCGCAAGGACTATATCCATGATATGGAAAAACTAAGGATATTTCAGTCAACTAGAAACCACCTAGGCGGCTGGCTGCTGTAATAGAAAAGCATACATATTTTTGGACCATGTTCTTTCGCATTTCGCGAGAACACGGTCCTTTAGGCTCGCTAGGACTATATCCATGATATTGAATATCCAAGGATAAATAGGTCAACTAGGTTCCATGAATAGCGACCTTATTTTTTGCCGAGATCATCAAGGCAAGTTCGACATCATAACCAAACCGTTTTTCTGCACAAATTTCTTGTTACCCCTCGATTGTTACTTTTATTGTCTATTTTGTCGATTTGTGTCAAAATTGGGATTTCCTTTCTTTTGATGCCAATCGATAGAACTGATCCTTACGAGTCAAAAATGGTATGAAATTGCAAAATCGGACATTATTTGACGGAAATATTCCAAAAAATCATCAAAAAGGTTGAATTTACGAACGAATCAGTTTTTTGTCAACAACATTTTTCAACCCATCGATGATTAATTTGTTTGAATGCCAATTAATGGTAGGGATCCGTACGCATTCAGAAAGGTATAACATTTTTAAATCAGACATTATTTACCCGTGATATTAAAAAAAAATCATCGAAAAAGTTTCGGTTTTCGCACAGACTTCGATTTTGAAAAAAAAACGTGATGATTTGGAAGGTCATATCATATCCGCGGGAGTTATGTCGTTTTGGAACGTCATATCTCCGCGCGGAGCTATTTCCCGAGATATTATGTCGTTTTGGAACGTCATGTCTTCGCGTGGAGCTATAACATTCCAAATCATCACTTTTTTTTTTTCAAAATCGAGGTCGGTGCGAAAATCGAAACTTTCAATGATTTTTTTTTTAATATCTCGGGTAAAAAACGTCTGATTTTCAAATATTATACCTTTTTGAATTTGTACGGATCCGTCCTATCAATTGGCATTAAAACAAATTAAAAATCTTTGGGTTACAAAAAGTTGTGGTCCCAAAAACGATTCGTTTGTACAGTCGACCTTTCTTGATGATCTCGGCAAAATAATTTCGGATTTTGGAATATTACTATCTATATATATAAATAAAATTTAATTTGTAGAAAAGTTAATTATACCTTTTTGTTTTAGCTATCTAAAAATGAACTTTGCTAGTATCCCGCACCGAACGAATTGATTAACCTGGCACATTGTTCATTGTTTAACAGAATTGCTTTGTCCCCTCAAGTAAATCAAATTTAAAATGTTATTAAGTTAATGGAAACAACCATATAATATAGGTAAGCAAATAAGCAGCACAAATTTTAGACGAATCGATTTCCGCGGCACGTGTCGCTAACCTTGAAAGCTTATCGAAGAGCAGCCCGGATTAACTCATTAACAAATTAGTTTCCAGTTTGGTGAGGGCTGTGAACTCACCTGGCCGCTCCATTTTGCAGAATAACATTGCCGCTGTGCAGGTGGCCATGAAGTGGAAAGCCGCGCTCCTTTAGGAAGAGCAGCGCTTCCAGAATTTGTCGGCCCAGACGCTGCACTTGGCTTATGGGCAGGCCATTGGGCTTGCGTGTATACTTTCGCGCCCAGGGCTCGTTCCATTGGGCCTGAAAAAGATAACGTCATGAGTAATCAGTTGTGCTTAGTTCAAAAAGCTTACCTTATAAATGAGATCCTTCAGACTGCCGCGCGAGTTGAAGGGCGTGACCAGGCAGGCATAATTATGTGAGCTGTTGCGCAAGAAACCCAAATCTAGTACCGGGTAGATATACGGATGATGCAAAGATCCAAGTAGCTCCATAAGTATTTCCCTTGCGCATTCATCGGGCGGCAGACCCTCAAAGGCCACACAGTCCGAAGGTAGTGGCAGCAGCGTCAGTAGACGATCTGTACGCACCTGATTGCAGAAGAAAGGTTAGGTTCCCCGCGACCTCTTTTCGTTTTATTACTTACTGATGCATCATTGACCAGAAACCAGTTCTTGCCGTGCCTGGAGCCAATCTCATCCAGATGTGCAATAACCTCGTAGCGTCCATTTGCGCTCTGTATCCACTCCTGTGTAGCATTTAGGGCTCGCTCACGTTGTGCCCGCTCGCGGGGACTGCGCTCCACAATGCCATTGCCGCTGTCAAGGGCTGAGTACTGATACTTTATGTTGGGTCTGCAAGATTGTTTAAAGAATTAGAAACCATTGAAGGAAAGGATTTCTTTCGAAAAGAGCTGTCATTTTCGCGCATACAGAAAGGAATTCAAACTATGGATATTCAAATAGGAACTAGAACAAATCACAAAACGTTTGACATTCATGATATATGCGGCTAATTTATTTACATTACATAGACAAAGTTTCCGTTTGTCGCGTTTGTTAATTGATGAAATAGGAATATCAAATTTGTATGTTCGCTCGATTCGATTTAAAATGCGATCTCAAGACATGTTTATATTAAATTGTAACAACCTAGTAATTAAAGGTTTGACGAGATCAGAAGATACATAAAAAATAAAGTTGTTGAAGAATTTAAGCAAATATGTACACTAGCATGAAGCTTAGCATAAATCAGTATGTTCTGCCTTTTTTAGGAATGCAACTTGACCACGAATCATTGTCGCGTGCCACATCTCACATGCCAAGTGACAATTCTAAACAAGTAAGAGGTTCTAGTCGGGAGCTCCCGACTAGGGGATACCCTGAACCTTCTTCTTCCAACATCAACTGCATATATATTCTATTTTAGAAGCTATATGTCAAGTTTGGTGACTCTAGCTCTTATTATTATTTACCAAAGTTGCCCAAAAATAGGATATCGATATCGCTTTTTATGGATTGCTTGGAAACCGAGTAATTTATCGATTATCGGAAACAAACTTGATCTACGCGGACACTAGGAGCACCTACATCTAAAATTTTAAGTCTCTAGCTCTTATATGTTCTGTGATGCTTGCGTTCATACATACGGACAGACGGACATACGGACAGACGTACATGGCTAGATCGACTCGGCTATTGGTACTGATCAAGAATACGCTATTTGACATACACGCTATTTGACATGCAAAGCGCATCCTCATTCGAATTGAACACTGAAATATTATAAAAACTTGTTGAAATATTATTTGAAAAAGGTGAAAACCTCAAAGACAATCGACCTAACATCCGAAGCGGGCAGGTGCAGAAAATGAAAGTTGGCAAATATAGTTTCGAAACAAAGAGAAGCTTGCCAAAAAAAAAGTATGGCCCGCCTGAAGCGGAGGTAAGCGAAGCAGAAGAGGAAACCCTCCCTGCGCAATGGCGCAGCGGAAACGGAAGCAAGAGTTGAACATTTTTTTGTTTGCTTTTATTTTACATATATTTTTTACTTTATTTGCCGTTTGGCTGTGCAATTTATAATATGTTTATTTTTAAACAATGCGCCGACATGCGGTCAAAACGATGGAAACTGTAGGGTATCGAGTTTCTGCGGCTTTATTGTGTGGTAAGGGAGCCAAAAGAGAAGTGACGAATGCGAGAAAGAAAGCCTTTTGGCAAAACTCAAACTGGGTTGAAGTGTTCCGGGAGACACAAATACACACAAAACAAGAGGAGGCAGGCTCATAAACAAACACTTGCGGGCCACTTAATCAAAACAGAGCAAAGGTTAAGCACATCCTCGGGTTAAGTTTAACATGTATTTGAAAATTTAAAAGGCAACGGCAAGAATAACAACAACAAAAGAGCGTGTATGTCTGCTTCTGTGTGGCTCAAAAGTTGGTCAAGAGGCTTGCTTTAGTTTCATTCGTGTGGCTAACGCGACGTATACGCAATATATTTACCCGAAAGCCTTTTGCGTCAGAACAGCAGAAGGCGAAAAAGTGAAAAATATTGCAAGGCCTCAGCATTCAACACATGACAGACACACACAAACACACAAACACACACACACACACCGGTATATACAGTCATTTTTGGTAGATGTCTTTCTGAATGCTTGGCCAACGTTGTGTAAGCTTTATATTCTATTGCAGCTTTTTCAGCCGTGCACTTCGTAGTTTGTTGTGCTGTTGTTGCAGATTTAAAGTGCCAAGACCTTGAATGGAATTGTATAGTATATTTGTTATGAACTGTGCTCAAATGTGTTTTGTATTTATTTATGCTAATTTTAGCTTTAACGCCTGCTGGAGCTGCAGAAACCACTTAAGTTTTCACTTCTTTGCAGTATAACTCTGCGTTAGTTTATAGAACAGCAGGCTCTACACAGGAACCACAAACACTAGTAGCATCAAAGACTAAAAAATTGTGTGTATGCAAGAAATTCTGTTTGTTGGAATATCTACCATGCGAGCTCTAAACTGCCAGCTAAGCATACAAATTATGGCCTCGATGGCATTTTACTCTACTTAAAACCGGACCAAAACAATCGTTAGTAATTTGAACACATATTGCTTGCCAACACATTTGCTGAGCTCACCTTTTGCTGTGTTTCATAATTAACGTGCTCGAGTGTGCTTTTTTTGCATACTTAACAGCGCAGCAGCAAATCAGCCTGTATGGGTATAGATACACATATCAATGCTCGTTGAAGTTCCCCCAAGCAAACACACGCACACACACACACACACACACACACACACACATATGGGAAAAAATCAGCACACAAATAGATGCTTTTCACTAACACATGCGTACTGTAGGTTACGCTCGCTTGCACATTCATTACACGGGTCAGCACACAGCGTCGGCACACCCACACACACATATACTCCCACTCACTCACACAGGTATTCAGACACAATTGCGAGGAGGAGGGGGGAGGGGACTTTCATCAATGAGCTTCGCTTCCCCTTTGCGAACAAATTTTCCAAGTTGATAATTTAATTTGCAATTTTTGTGCCTGCGTCTAATTGAGCAGGTGAAAACCTTGGTAACATTTTACCTGTGCAATTCTGGCCGCAGCCCCCGCAGCGGCATATGGCACACTCAAAATGCATTTTATCATCAGAGATATTTTTTTTGTGAACTAGGGCTTTTGTGTGTGCCTTTGCAGTTAGCCCTCTCATGACTCATTCAGGTTGAATTTTTTGTAAAGGTATCTTGAGTCTGTTGTCGCTTTTTTTATTACATTAATTGTTGGCACCTATAATTAAAATTTTGGCTTATACGAATTTAAATTCACAGTATGCTAGCAAAATTGTAAGTTTTCGTTTCAGAAAATCCACTTGAAACTGTTTCATTTTACTTTTGTTTTTTATCGGAATAAATTTACCTTTTAAATTCAAAATCAATTTCAAATTGTAAAGTGTTCTTTTTATTTAATTTTTTTTTTTGTGGTTTTGTGGTTTCTGTGCACTAGGTCTACGTGAAAGCATTGCAAACGCCATTAGCCGCTACTATTTAGCATGCAAAGTGCTTTTGGCTACAAAAAAAGCGATTGAAACAAAAATGATAAGGAAAACTGAATTCATCCAGAACCAGAATCGGCACAAGAAAGAGAAACTGAAGAAATATTTGAATAAAATCGCAAAAGCAAACGATGAACGTAAAATTGAAAGCGAAATTTGCCAATTGTATGTTTTATAGTATAAAGTTGTATAGATACAATAGATACAATGAGTTGAGTTTCAAGTTTTTTTTCGGTGGGTTGTGATCGGATTTGGGATTAGAAATTTAATAAGTACATATAAATAGAATATGCAACCTTGTTGTTAGTACTGAATCTATGGTATCTCTACTTCCGGTTTCCGCTGGCATCGATTTGCTAAAAAAGAGCCTAGCAAGATTGTCTAACCTCGCGCTAACCAGTGGCGATTTCTCCGAGTGCTCGGACAAATCTGAGTTATCTTGCTCCGAGCTGGCCGACCGGTTGCTGCAAATAGAAGGACGCGAAAATAACGTACCAGAAATTTTGGAAAATAGAAGGCAAAATTTTGGAAATATAAACAACGAAAATATGCAATAATTGTGATTTTGATTTTGTTTCTTTTCCTTTGATTATCTTTAGAATATTTTTGAATTTTAATTTGAATAAGCTTCAATAGAATGTTTAAACTAAAACTATAATCAAAAGGTGATGAAACCTGTGCAATTTGTGTGTGGCGTACATTGAATATTAGGAGTAAGCAGCTCATTTGGCGAACAGCTGTGCGCACGTCCCATCTCAAGATTAACGGATTCTCTGCTCTATTTGCATTTAGTTTGTGTGTGTGTTTTTGCTAGTGGAATCCGGTGACAAATCTTGTACTCACCTACTGTAGATTTGGCGTCGATTGGCGGCTGACAGCGCTGAGACATCGAATTCGATCGCCGAATTGGAGCGTTTCAGTCCATTCGCCTTGTGCAGCTTCTTCATAATGTGCTTCACTTTCCTAAATCATCAATCAAGTTTCGATTCGTGTTGGAGATAAATATGAGGTGTGAAATGTGTGAGAAACAGAATAGCTTAATTTGCATGGGGAAGTGTCGAAAAAGCTAGGAAACTGCGCAAATCAAAATTTATTGATAGACGGAATAGGCTTGTTAAACGCTATAGTTATTAAAGTAATTTTGACAAAATAATGTTTTATTAAGATTATCCTTTGTGTTTAAAAGGGTATAAAAAAAAGTAATTTGTGTACTATAGTCTTAGTTATGAAGTATTTTTGTCAAAAATGAGATTTTCGTTAATTTAGTTGGTGGCAAAAAGAAATAGTCAAAGTTTTATCATATTTATCAAAAATAGCAATAATAGTTTTAAAATAGACAGACAATCTTTTAAAAAGAATAGATAAAATAATTAAGTGAACACGTTTTAATTTGAAGACATGTGCTAGGTTTAAAAAATTATCGGAACAAAATCTAAGATTCGTAAGTTTCGCAATTGCCTTTGTGACACTTCGAAATTGAGTTTGGGCACAACTCACTTTTCGGGCACAGGTGGCCTGACAAAGGGATCATGTCCGGTTACGGCGCTGGCGCGATTATCGAGTCGCTGCTGTTGGGCAGCCTTGTTGAACTTGAACATGGTGAAGGACTTTTTGGTGCTGGCCACCTCACAGACACGTACGATTATCTTGCGGCTGCTCTTGAAGACCGTGTTCAGAGTCTTATAAACGAGTATGGACACGGACTTGGTGGCGTGCGGGTTGTGGTTCGGATGCGAGTGGAGGTGCGGCTCGACCGTTGGTTGCAATTTGGGCAGCGGATTGGGCAGGGACTGCTGCTGCTTCAATTGATGCACTGCAGCATGCGCCGGCGACGACGTCGATGATTGTGATCGGGCGAAGACTTTGTGTACCGCAGGCTGCTGATATTGCTGCTTCTGCTGCTGCTGACGGCGGCAGTTGATAATAAGCTCCTGCTCCTGGTTAGGGATCGCTGGCGCGGTGATTTCGCTGCAAGTGTCCTGGTATCGACAACGATAACGATATCAAGTGTGTATGGTTGTTGTTTATTTGTTATTGTTGTTGATGTTGTTTGTTGTTGTTTGTTTGTAGTTGGGAACAAAAGTCGAGTTTCGAAAAGAAATGGAAAGACATATGCAATAATTTTAATAGAAGTTTTGTCCATTGCACGCTGGGCGAATTTTTGATAAACAACACAGCAACAAAAGGGAAAGACAAATAACGAACTGAGCAAAGCGATTCGTGAAAATAAGAAAATTAAATATTTCTGCATATTGCATTTGCATTCGAGTTGTCTCCAGCTCTCAGGTGATTTTTGCTGACGTCACACTTAGCAAGTTCAATCGATCAGGTCTCTGTGTTTTGTGGGTGTATTTAATTAATTTGCTGTAAGTGTCAACTATGGGACTAACAATCACAAAAGCATTTGGCAAGGCCTTCATTTATGTGAATTCCATTTGAAAGCGCTTAAAAACCAAAAATCGAAAAATAAATTTGAACATTGTAAATTTTGTAAAGCGATCATAATGAACACATGCGCTAATCTTAAATTTTATCAACTAAACTATTTTGCAGCCAATTTATATATATATATATATATATATGTGTATATAAATAAAAAAAAAGCGATTCAATTGCTAAACTTTGCGTGTTAACCAAAAATCTTTGTGTATTTAAAAAAAATCCAGCCAATTTTTGAATTGTGTTTGTGATTGAGAAAAGAAAATGGTTGAAAGTTTGCTTGATTTGATGCATTATTGCTCTTTTGTGAATTGCTTAAGTTTTAGCCGACTATTTGATAATTTCTTCATGATTGGAATTTGGCATTGGCTTCAAGAAAATTGCGAATTTACCTACCGATCGCTCAAGCAACTAAGTTTTCAATAGTCCAATGTACGACACCTATATCTGAAGTTCGATTTTAATGTATTATTATTCGAATTCATTTAACACATCGGGGAAGTTGGAAAAATAAATGGGGAAATTAAGCGGGCAGTTTCACAAAAATGTAAATAAGAGTGTGTAAAAGATGTTGGTGGTTAGTCAAATCGATATTATATATAGTTGGCCTTAGAGTACATATGTATATGTTTATCAAGTCTTGACCTGTGGGAGATTTATTATGAAGTCAGGAAGCTGTCAAATTTTCAGATTGCGAAAAATGCTCTGGTTTGTGCATTTGCCGTATAACAATACAAAAGCTATCTCGTTGTTTCCCAAAATTATTTGTAATTTAATTTGTCAAGCAACAAACGAAGGTAATAGAATAAAGACATGTGGTCGCCAAACGAATATAAAATTGGATATAGAATCCATTTCCACACTTCAATCGAAGACCTCAAAGTTCATTTTGGTGGATTTCGCGGGAAGTTTTTGTTGCGCTGATTGAATAGTATTTGTTAAACTTTGGAGCTTTTGCCCAATGCTATGGTAACGCGTTCGAAATGCTTCATACGAAAAACCACAGCAACAGAAATAAATGCAACAGCAACAATTGCAACAGCAACAAAATGACAAGAATCATAATGGGCTGTTAAATATTATGCGCCCAGTTTGCTGCAGCAAACATTCATTTACAGTGAGTGTGTGTGTGTGTGTGTAGAATGGCATTGAGCACTGTGTGCTCTATGAGCCTACCCTTGGTTGGGCTCCACAACATGTGCTTACACGTGTCTTGGCCTAGGGCCTCTTCGCCATTTGTCTAATTGTCTAATTCTAATTATACATTTTATTTATTTTTTGTTGCCTTCATTGTTGCTGCTGTTGTTATTGCTATTGTTGTTGCTATTGCTGTTGCTATTGTTATTGTCTGTTGACTTAATCGTATTTGATTTTTGTACAAAAACAAAAGCCAGTCCGTCTACTTTTCCTACCATTACCATTTATCTAATCAGGCGTGCAAAATGCTCGACATTCGTAATGCCGTTTGCTAGCTTCTGGCGTTTATTTTTTAGGCTTATTGATTTTCTTTTGTGCCGTCTTCTTGTCTTTCAGTTTGAGGTCAAGTTAAGGGAGGGCAGCGGCAGGTGAATTTTCGAATCAATTTCTATTTTCGAGATGGTCCCTGTGCCTGCCATCATCTGCCCCCGGCCGACTCCTGTAAGATATTGTAATTGCTCCTTATACTGCTTGGTTGGCAAAAGTCAAAGGTTGTGTCAAGATATACGTGTTTATACCCATTACGATTATTGCATTAGCCTGTCACTTTGTTGTGCTTTTGCAAATTAAATTGTCAATTTGCTTGCGGCACGAAATCGAATAGGAAGAACGCGATTCGCGGGGCAAGATATGAAAACATAACGAAAGTTTTATATTTCAAAATGACTACAGTTCTTTAAAATGTATAAGTTCAACAAACACTATTGTTGCTTTTATTTTTGCAGAGTGCAGTTTATGGGCGAACTTCTAACAATTTATTTTATTTTCAATTTTAATTAACTGACATTATCGCCCTGCGTTAATTCCCATTTAATATGAAAGAGCTTCGGAGGAATACAAATACAATAAAATGTGTTAAAAATAGCAGTAAGTAAAATACTTGATAAACTTCACTATAAAGTTTTTTTTTTTATATCAGCCTTTTTTTCTTATAAGACACAATTTGTTTTGTTTTGCAATAAAAATTCCATCTTCTTGTAAATAATTAAAATTGATTTAAGAATTTGGGTACTTTTACTGAAACACCTTGCATTATTTAAGCTAGCAGCCAAATTTTGACAGCCAACTAAATGTCAAAAGGCCAAAAATTGAATTACACATTAAATATAATGATGTCAGTTGCGGGTGGCGGGGATGGTGGTTAGGAATACTCATTTGCCGGACCGGTGATTAGCTTTGAAAGCAGTTTACTTTCGTGGAAAACACATGACACTCAAAGACAAGAACCTGCGCGTTTTATAAATATCCTGACTATTTCATCAACATTATCAACTGCTGCGCAGTAGAGGATTACATTATAAAAGTATTATTATTTTTTAAAATAGTTTTCACTTGATGTTCACTTGACGAATTATCACTTGTTAATGAAGGTTGTTTTCAGTTTTGTCGCTCTATAAACACGCACACGTGAATCGAGCTAAACCAACACGGCCACGCAGCTCGTCGGGTCGTCTGTCAATGAAGGTAAATTTCGAACATCGTTTCGGTTAAAGCGCAAAAGTATGAAATTTTCTTTATTCCAGTCCGACGCCATGTCCCTCCTTCTGTCTAGCCGGGCGACTACCTTTGTGGGTGGGTTCTACGAAATGTTTGCGTGCCTCATATCAGCCAGGTGCCTCGTCGCTTTCTTTATAGATATTGGTTCAGCGCTTGGTCTGTCGGCAACGTTCTAACTGGATTATGAAAATTGATTTTTAATTTTTATGACAATTTTTAACTGACTCATGTCGCTTTTGCTATTCCATTTTTATTTGGTCGTCTTCGCTTAACCCTCGCCTCACGGCTCGGCCCCTCTTCAAACTCTTGAACCTAGCATGTCAGCTTGTTTGCTCCGACAATGGGCAAGCAATGTATAATTTACCTCGCTATTTTACATGGTACGGCGAATCAGTTTTAATTACTTTGATCGATCGTGGTGATAGTTGGAGTTCACAGAAATAACAGATAGGAGGGCCTTAGTTGATGTTATTTATATGAAGTGATGGCTTATAAGGTAGTAAAAAATAAATCACTTTTAAAATTGATGCCAAGCAATATTTCTATGACATGTTAGAAACTATATTAATGATTCATTTCAGTTGTTATCTAAATTAAATGCTTTAAATGCTTTAAAATGCACACTTCTTGAATATAGTTTACAGCCTAGTCGAGACTTCTTGCTATTTTGTTAATTACTTTCTTATGAGCGCTGTGTATATTGTTATTCCTGGCTGACCCTATCAAAGAGCGACCTCCTGACCCCCTTTTTGTAAAAAATCCATCATTATATATTATATATAATATTATATATCAATATCATAAAAAATACATTATTTTAACTATACATTCTTTCCTTATTTATTTGCTTGGAGATCATAAGGCGCTGATCGATTTCAGTGCAAAGTAAAACATATTTAACACTATTTTTACCAAGGTTTTGTGCATACCCATTTCAAAGGACATCTTAGCTTATAAAAGAGGAATATAATTTTATAGTTATTCTCTTTTTATTAGTTTTTGTCGAGGATTATGCTACCACTAAATTAATTTAAAAAGCAATTAATGAATTATCAAAAATTAAATTCAGAAAAAATTATTCAACTTGGAAAAAAATTCAATTTTAAAATTAAAAGGTGTCTTTTGAGACCTTTGGTCGAAATAGTGTTAAATGTAAAAAATGAGGTTGCGATTTCGACCACTGTGCGGCTATGACACATTAATCATGACCCGCTCAACGACAGTTTACCTTTGCTGACCATCGGCTTTTGCGACAACTCCCCGCATGGACACATGTGTGTGTGTGCTCAGTTGTCGCAGGACATTCGTTTGTATGCAAATATTTCAGTTTGTTTACTGTTTGCCGTTTCCTGTTTTGTGTGCTCCATATGGAAATTGGAAAAGTTTTTCTCTACACATATATAACGTATACGACGCGGTGGCCTTTTACTTCGAGTGAAAAACACTTACAACCGAAACAAAATAAAACGCAGCCGATGGGAATCAAAGGCACACGAATACATAAAGGCATGGCATTTGCCAGTTGTCCCATTGTGCGTTTGTCTTCTAATAAAATGATGTGCGTCTGTGTGTGCGAGGGTGTGTTTGTTAGTGTGTGTCGTATAGTGCTGGGACGAGCTGGCGCCAACCACATTGTAATAGGCCCCTGGGCGGCGCTCTTGGTGGTCACCATACCCTTCCCCTCGGGACGCTTTGAATGTCAACTGCGTCATTCTTGGCTTTGTTTTTGTTTCGCTTTTTTTTTTATTTTTTCGAGAGAAAGCAGGCTGTGCCCTTTGGTCCCCGCTTCCAGTGACCTTGTCATTAACTTAATTGTTCGCAACCAGTAAAATTGCCGACTTGAATTATTTAGTTGGCTTTCTGTCCGTCCGGCCGTGGCGGCTTTTTTTTGTCTCTGCCAGTCTTTGACTGTGCTGCAACCCCTTCCCCTCCCCCTGCCCCATTGGACATTCACCACGTGGCGCACATTGTTGTTCTTGTTGTCATATTCACAGGCTTCCTTTAAGCACCCCAACATGCCTGCACGTTGTCCGCCCGCTTATCTGAGGGCTTTGACAGCCACGTGCTGCATGGCTTAGTGCGTTGACAGTATGACCATATCTTTAAACTTTAAATCGGTTAACAAAGCCCCTAAAAAAGGCGTTGGATAATATTCTGCTCTTGCTTCCAGCTCACAACTTTCTTAGATTTGTTTTAGTAATAGAAAATAGATTGTCAAGACTCGGAAATGTTTACATACCTGCATCGTCTTATCCAATATGAAATGACAACGATTCCACCTAATATTAAACCTCCCAGGGCACACCAAAATAGGGTCTGCAATGGACAAAAATAAAGTTATTCGTTATTATTATACTATCTGGTTGAGATTAAAAAATTGAATAAAAGTAAAGAAAGACAAATGTGACTGGCTAAAGTTTTAAATAATAATAAAAGTAATAAGTTATATTCCCGCGTTAAGCTCCGATCAAATGACGTAAATATACTTTCAGATTATTATACCCTGAACCCATTAAAAATAAGTATAAGGGTATATAAGGGTATATACCCTGAACCCATTAAAAATGGGTATAAGGGTATATTATATTTGTGCAAGATCCAAATGTATGTAACAGGCAGAAGGAAGCATCTCCGACCCCATAAAGTATATATATTCTTGATCAGCATCAATAGCCGAGTCTACCTAGCCATGTCCGTCTATCTGTCCGTCCGTCCGTCTGTCCGTGTGTATGAACGCAAGGATCTCTGAACCTATAAGAGCTTGACTTGAAATTTTAGATGTAGGTGCTCCTAGTGCCTGCGCAGATCGAGTTTGTTTCCGATAATCGATAACTTACTCCGTTTTCAAGTAATCGATACAAATCGATATCGATGTCCTGTTTTTTGGGCAATTTTGGTAAATAATAAGAGCTAGAGTCCCCAAACTTGACATATAGCTTCTTAAATAGAATATATATATGCATTTGATATTGGAAGAAGAGGGTTCAGGGTATCCCCTAGTCGGGAGCTCCCGACTAGAGCCTCTTACTTGTTGTATTATATTACAAGGCGTCCATTCTGTTCTACTGTACTCGAATTAAGATGTTCCTTGAATTTGTAATAAAAAAGGATCATTCTATGACTTGACATATTAATTGCACAGTTTACGGCTTTTGTATTTAATAGAAAGATTGGCCGAAAAGGTTTCAATCATGCACGACATTTAAAGTTATCTTCCCTTTCAATTTGCGGCAACGGTTCACATCATCAACTTTGCAGCCCCAGATGTCAAATCCATTGGAATTTCGGGTCAGAGCAAGGCCAATGTGTGACATGGCAATGTAAATCAGTTGAAATCTATTTAATCTCCTGCCAAGCCGAATGATTTATTAAACTAGGTTCCGGCTCAGATAATAATGTCAATTTGCTTATGTGAAAAATCAACAAAAATGCTCACAGAATGTTAAAAAATGTCGAGCTGTTAATTAAGTGCATTGCCCTATGCAATACATTTTGCATATTGGGTTGAAATTATGTGTAATGGACGTGAAAAACACTAAATGAAGATCTGCGGGAGGCGGCAAGTTGCTCGGCAATTTGTGATTTTCCAACAATTTCAGCACAATGAAATTTTATTGTCGGCGGCTTTTGTCTTTGCCCTTTTGCTGCTGTAAGTTCATCTGAAAATGGCAGTCTGCCAATCTGATAAAGACTACAGTCGCTTTCGACAATGGAATGCATTTGGTACAACTAACAAACTATGAATGACGCCATAATTGCGAGGAATTTGGCTCGAAATTCGCTGAATAATTCCTCATGATTTGTCGCCTCAAATGTTATAATAAACAAAGAGCCAAGTTCAAGGCAATGGGAATTATACTCACAATCCAGTAGTGCGTTTCAGTATGTTTGCTTAAATTCAGTTGCATCGCACGTTCGTTTCATTTATGCACGTCACAGTGGGTCGGCTGAAATGTAAAAAAACACTGATTAATCCAAAAGTTTATAAGAAAAATAATAAATTACATATGAAGAGGTTTCTTTGACAAGTTGAATAAGCTATGTTACACTTCCTAGTGCGAATAATAAATCAAACTTTAAAATGTTCTATACCAAATCCTTTCTTATGCCCACTATTATGCAGAAATCATCTTCATTAGTTAATTTTCTTTGAGCACTGGTTACGTAAGCGATAGTAAATAGATGCTAATGTCTACATCAATATCCGGGTCATTACATTTCATTGATTTGTTTTAATAAATATAATTGGCAGAATGTAAGCAAACTCATCGCACCCACTGATTCAGTGAGCCGACAGATTAGCTTCCCTCATCGAATTTCAAGAGCACTTCATTTCGAGACGACGTCCAGCTGGGCGTTCTGTGGAGGCGAGAGCGTAAGTCTTGGTGTACGGATGGGCGTGGGTGTGGTCATGCCAACGGAATGATTGCACTTGATTTACGGGGACCTGCTCGATGGAGTGTTCTAGTGCGGCGCCTGTGAAATAATCATAGCATAGCTGGGCAAATATGACAGGCAAGGGGGATTTTTTGAATCTTTAGATTTACTGAATCATTTTTGCTCGCTCTAAGCAACTGGCAAACAGTTGATTTAGGCTCCGTCTTATCGTCCGACGTATCAGTTTCACACAATGGACACATTGCAGCTTCTCTTTTTTGCTCTTTTGCATACTATTCATTTAACTATATTATTTTTTTAAATTAATTTAATAACATAACATATTATTTACGTAATATTATGTGAGATCTATTTCTTTTTCGAGCGTTAAATAGTTCTTGACAAAATTGTAATACGAGAGCAAAAGAATTTTCCGCAAACAAATTTAACATGATAATCGTATACAAAACAAATGCAATTGATGGGCATAGTAACAACAAGAAAACACATGTCAAATTGTAATTTGTTTTGAGTCAAAAAAACAAACAAATTTACAACCCTCGGAAGCATTCCCAAGCTGGCCAATAGCTACAAATTATGCCACGGTTTTTTGCAATAATAATAGTGTAGGGTAAGGGGAGTGTGAAGAGCATATTTCGCGAGCTAACATTTAGTAGGCAAAAAGTGGCCCAATAAAAATTTCAGATATACGAGAGAACACATACAGACACTCGAAATGAACTCGACTACTCGCCACGCAAGTAAATTACTAATACGAAGCGTAAGCCGCACGTCTTCTGGAAAATCGAGTGCGAGGCAAGTGCAGGTGACCGACTGAAAGTGTGCCACATGCCACATGCGGCGTGTGTTCATTTATCATCACTCGGCTGTCATGTTGAGCCCGTCAGCGTGTTTTGTCCAACTTTGATCCAGAACCGAGTGCCACACGGACTTGTGTGGCATATTTTGATATTCTTGTATTTCTTGTTTTTCTGTTTTCGGTGCGTGTTAACACTTCTTTTGCTGTGGAAAATACTTTTGTCCTGACAAAGCACCCAATTCCGTGCACTGTTATAGGAACATTACGTTTAAGGGATTAGTTAATTATATTAACTAACGCAACTTGCGCTGTTCCAGAAAGCCTCGACATATGCTCATTCAATTTGATATTATTTGTGTGTTGTTAATTTGGAGCACAAAATTTAAAGCAATTTAAGTCTTCAGTAAAGTACATTTCGAAAAATGGCTATTTAAATTACAGCAGTCTGCTGAAATTTGTTTACCGAATAGCCTTATTCCAGTATCTACATTTCTTACATTTTTTTGCGAATGTAACACTTTTGTCTAATGTTAAACATTTTAAAAAATTTAACATATAATTCGCTCTCTCACTCTCCCTTACGCCCTTTTTTCTATTACTCATTCTTTCTCATTTTCTTACTTTTACATAATTTCGGTAGTGGTAAGTATCTGTCTATCTATCTTCTTGAGTCTGACTCTAACTCTAAGTCCAATTTGTAAAAAACAAAACCAAATTGACCTGTGATGAGTAGTCGCAGACAGCTTAGTTTATTGAGTGTAAACATTAAGTTTTTTTTTCTTTTTTTCACAAAGCCAAAGAAAATTCGACTATCTGCACTTCCGCTTGCTGGAAAGGAAAATAAATGGCGAGAGCCATCGGCCATGGCAAGAAAAAAATGGCCAAAAGCTAAGCGAAAAATAATGTGAAATGTAAATAGAAATAAATAAGCCTCGACGCTGGTCAGTTTTGCACGAGTCTGCGCTGAAAATGGACGCCGGCTGTTGCCATAAAATTGTATGTAAATTATTTTCAACTCATAGGAAACATAAATGCATAGAATAGAGGAATAAAAGTGTAATTTGAAATCCAAATGGCAAGCACAGAAATTAATGCCATCAAATTGAATTGACAATCAATAAAATTGATTGCTGGCAAATTGAAAGCTAGAAATGGCAAAAGTGTAGGTAAAATGTGCAAATGCTTTTGTTGATGAGTCTCGCAATCAGTTTGAGTGTGGTGCAGGTCGAGAGAGTTCCTTGGCTGTAAAATAAGATGACCAGATGGATTCACGAAGTGACCCGGTTTATGCTGTAACTGTTTAGCACTTCGATTTGAGCATTTTATTGTTAGATCGCGCTGGTAAAGGTCATGTGCTAATCACAGCGACTTGGTGCGGATGTGAGCATGGAATTCGTCCGACATGTCCGTAACTGCAACAGCAACCGGATGTAATAAAAGCAGCGAGCAGGGCAGAAACAGGAGGTCGCTAATGCACCGGAAGTGCAGGCGGTAACCATCTCCATCCAGCTGACCATTGACTAACGACCAGCTTGAGAATAGAGGGACCTGGAAACCGACCCGACTATCGTTTGTGTCGTTAAAATACACTCGTAAATTTGAGGTTCGGTCATGGCAGTTCGCGAGCTTTCAGGGTTGTTGTTTTTAATTTTTGTTACGAATGTGGCATTTGTAATAGCAAAGGTATGTCGACCCTTAACACATTGCACAAGGCAATCCGAAAGCAAGGCCACAAAGAACCCTTAAGCTGAAAGCTGTAGCTTTTTATTATAAACCGAGAACTCAAAATAAACACAGCTTTATTGCTAAAGAACTTAACTCAATCGTCTGCAAGTTGCGCCAGAATAAGTCATATTTATGTTCAACTTGATTTACTTTGCCACAAACAATATATTTTAGAAAGCAGCCGCATAGATATCGGTGTCGAATAGCACACAAGTATTCAAAAGCCGCAAAAAAAGTGTTGATCAAATGTACTTCCATTAAAATGTTAGCTTTTGAGCCATTCGCCTCTCATATCCTGTGGACCCTGTGGCTGGCAGTTTGTTATCGCCTGATGTCCTTGTTGAATATGTTCGTTGTGAGTTCTATTTTTCCCTTACAAACACCAAAT